CGCTCAGAGGATCGTCGAATAAATATATATCAGCTTTTTTGTAAACAGCCCGTGCTAAATTTACTCGTGCCTTTTGTCCTCCGGATAAAGAAGATCCACCTTCTCCTACATTGCTCATGTCACCATAAGGAAGTTGTTGAAAATCTTTCGTCAAAGCACAAACTTTCGTTACCTGCATCCAATTTTTTTTTACTTAGTTTAAAATTTTTTAATTAGTTTAAAATTAACTTAATAACGTTTAAAAAGAAAAAAGAAATTAAAAACTATCTGAAATGTATATATAAAATAATCATATATACATATATCAGTTACCACTTGGTTGCCCAATCATCTAATATATTATTAAAAATTTTTCAATAAAACTTACAGCAATGTATCTATCTTTATCATAAGGTTGTCCAAAAAGGATATTATCTCTGACAGTTCCAGAAAATAGCCAAGCTTCTTGACTTGCATAAGAGATCTTCAATGGAATATTGTTGTCATATCCATTGTACTCTTCAAATGGCTTACAATGAAACGTCAACTTTCCAGCTCCAAGAGGGAGTTCTTTCAAAAGAAGGTGTAAAATCGAAGATTTACCTGAGCCCACTGGACCCACTATACAACACAGTTCTCCACCTTGAATCTTCATAGATATGTTGCACAAAGTTGGTGGCAGTTGGTTAGGAATCCAATTTGCTGACACACGTTCCATTATTATTGTAACTGGCAACTGTTCCTCTTCTTCAACATTGTTCAAATTTATATTTTGTTCTTTATTTGTAATTTTAATAATTTCCACGTTTTCTTTCAATAAATTACTTTTTTTGTTGAATTTTAAGACTTCGTTTTGATGTGATCTCTTCTCGCTTGGGTATTCGTCAAGCAATAAAAATTTCTAAAAAAAAAAGAACAAGTTTTCCTTTTTAGTTTAAAAAAGAAAGGTACGCGATTATATTAAAATAAATAAATAAATGGATTTTTGCAATTAAATTTGAACAACCTCTAATCTTTTAATGGACACCAAAGTTTCTCCGATTAACAAAAGAGCTTGTGGAAACATTAAGGTGGTAGTTAATTGAAGCATCTCGAAATAACAGGCCAACATAAATGTCAATTCTACCCTTACTTGATTTCCCATTAGAACAAACGATGTGAGAGTTGAAAACAGAACTACACGATTTGAAAAGACAACAAGAGCCAGATATACTGCACGAATACATGTTGAATTTTGTATATTTTGGATTTCGGTGGAGCGTATAGCTTTCACGATTTTTTCAAACGGTTTCTCCCAAGCGTACATTTTGATCACCTAATAACAAAAGATATATTATCATTCCTATAAATATATATATATATATATATAGAATACAAAAATAGAAAGATTAACTTAATTTAAATATTAATATATGTATTCATATATTTGTATGAATTTTACTACTTCTGTGCTGTTTCATTACCTGTATACCATTTATAAATTCGTTCATAAGTTGCATTCTTTTGTCAATTAATTTAGCAGTAATATTTCTGTATTGATGAGTTAATGGGGAGAATACGGTATATGTTGGAACAGTTAATAACAAAAGGATTGCTATACCGATTATACTTGGAATTCCCACCGCATGCCACAATATTACAAAAATTATGACAAACTAAAAAAACGAATTGGGATCAGAGTTAGAGGAAAATATAAATAATTTAAAATTTTGATTATAACGAGTGGAAAATTAAAATTACTTGGATAGGGGTGATCCAAATATAATTTAAATAATAGCATATCTCGTCGAATCGTCTGACATCGTTGCTGAGGAGATTTATCACTTGGCCGGAACTAATATGAGTCAAGGCTCCTTTACTAAGTCTTAATATCTACAAATGAATAATTTGTCATAAATTTAAAAACTTAAAAAAAAAGAAACCTTAAATATTATCTTAAACACAACTTAAAGAATGAGATAACGATAATTACAAACTATGACTCTTTTATGGAAATTAGATCCATGCAAAGTGCATTAGTTGACGAAGTAATAAAGTTATTATTGCAACATTAACTGTACTGTGTACGTATACTTTCATATGTATATGTTATCACATGTTAAATATTGAAGGACTTTTATAATTATCGAATATATCATTCTTACTTGAAATTTGCTTATAATACTTTTTTAATAAATATTTTATTTGTTGGAAAAATATTCTAGAAAAATAATATTATGAATTTTTGAAATCAATAAAAAACTATTAATTCATACTTTTCTATAAATTAACGAAGAACAAGCGATTCGTATTCTCATGCCAATTTGTTGAGTTAATAAATCCACATGATGCGAGATACACACAATCACCATTATAGACAATAATAAATAGCAGATATAAGTTACAACTTCTAATTTCTCCATCCTCTTAGCATTTTCATCGATTTTAAAATAACTGATGATCCACGATACCAATATAGGATTAATTACCATCAAGATTAAATATTGAATGGACAATAATAAACCTGTATACAAGTATTTTTTCCAAAAAATACGAAATATAACTTTCATTAAACTGGGAGAATCGTTACTTTTGTTTAAGTATTCATCGTGATGCATTTCTTTTTGTTTTTGTTCCCATTTTTGAACTTCTTGATTCCAGCATCTATAACAAGTAGAGAAAAATGCTTTTTTTTTTGTAAGAATAAAAAAAAAATGAAAAAAAATAAAATTGGAAATAGAATTATACGTATTTTTATTATAAGTATTATTATCTGAATATCAAAGTTTTTATCAAACTTTTATCAAAGTTTTTAAAATGGATTTTGAAATTTTTGAAACTCATGCTAATAAAATGCTAATTATATGTTTAAAGATAAGTAATACGACACATTTTAGATATTGTTGCAATACTTACTTTTGTAATCGATCTGTAATCATTTTAGATTCATCTTGTCTTAAAGGATGATATAAGTCTGATAATGTGAGTCCTCTCTTAGTGCCATATATAAATACATCTTTTATCCATCTGAAATATTATTTGTATAAAATAAATATTGTAATTAATGTTATTTAAATAATTTTGCAATTTAATGATTTCTTCATATTCTTAACAGATGTTTTTTTTTAAAACTTTATTTAATGACTTAAGAGGAGCTTGAAAAATATATATATATTATATTAAATAAATATTATCATGATTATTAGCTTAGCAGATACAAATTTTTTACAAATTTAAATATGACATTTTTGTAATCATTTTGTTATAATATATACATAATGGGAAAACAAAAAATTAAACAATAAATAAAATGAAATAAAATCTAAAAATTAAATTCAATTCAAATTCAAATTTTTTTTTATTTTTACTTTCGATTGAAATGCATTTAAAATTATTTTTTTCTTGACACATAATAACATAAAAATTAAAAAAAGTTTCATATACATTCAATTCATATACATCAAAAAGAAATAGATCGATTGTTTTCTTTCATTTTATTTCAAAATCACTAAATTAATATTTTCTTCAAATATCTTTATGTAATTTTAATTATTTAATTATCTTTTAACGATAAAATAAAATTTTTGAGAAACTAAAATTAAGTAGTAAAAAAAAGGGAAAAGATAGTAAATTAAATAAAATAAAAAAAAGAATATTAAATTGCAGAATTACATTATTTACAGAATGATATAAAATATTATTACCCAAAAAATAATCGACTAATTGGATTTGCAGTTTCTTGCGGACATCGTTTAGTGTACGAAAATTTAGTTTCCATTTTCTGTTTCAATAAATATATTTAATATATCCACCGAGCGAATTCTTAACCAACTAACGTTTATAGTATTTTCACTTATATACTTATAATAACTGATAAATCGTGAATAATGAATATTTCAAAAATAAAGAACCTTGAAAAATCATGAACTTGCATATTCTATACATAAAAATTGTTTTGAATTTGCAATAAACAAAATTATATAATAATTTTATAATATATCATAGTATTTTTATCATAAGAATATAAAATTTATTTTAAATTTAATATTTTTATGCTATGAAATTTGTAATATACTTTTATAAATTGATTTGTATACTTGCGCGTATTTTGACCAATCAGCAACATTTTTTTTTGAATACGCAAGCGCGCACAGATATTAACTTAAAAAATTCGATAGAAAGATAAGAAAAAGAAGAGATAAATAGAAAGCGCATTTTTTATCTGTCATACTTTGCCCACGTTTTGTTAGCGAAATTTATTAATAGTATTCGTGCCGAATAGATACTGATATAATTAGATAAAATATAGTAGTAGAATTAAATAAAAATTATTACATAATATAATATAAAAATTAAGTGGACAAACATTCATATGCTCGTACGCATATCCATCTAGTGACAATTATAAAAAAGAGGAGAGGAAGGGAATATTAGTGCTATATATATATATATATATATTACCTTATTCAGTTTCTTGTCGCACATGATTCATGTATCAAATAGAAAATCTTCGTATTAAATTATATTGAAATGCAAGTTGATTTGTATTGGTATTGCATTCTTTAATAATATATTTTAATAATATATTTCTTATTAAAATACTTTTTTTTTCATCATCTTCAAGTTTGTAAAATTGTTACTTGATACATTTGAATCAAATGTCAAAATTAGTGTATATTATAAGTTATATATTTTTATTAGTAAGGAATTTATATATATTACTTTTATATTTATATATAAAAGTAGGGAATTTTATTTACAATTCGGTATAGTACAATAAAGATTAATAAACACGTATCTGTATAAACACGTATATGTATAAAATATAAAAATATAAATTTCGAAAATAACAAATTACAATGAACACTGTATTATTATTCTTGCAAATATATTCTTAATACGATCGATTGGACTAATTTGTTAATTATTTATCGAATGTTGTATACGTAATACATTAATCGATATTCGAACTATATTATACAACTTATTAATGTATAATGTAACATTATATAATTATATATTTTTCATTTGTACTACATAATAAGATTATAGTATATGTATAATAATAATCTTCTTTATAAAAATGTTATAAATGTAGCTTAATTCTTTATTTATCACTTAACACTTATGTTTTATTTGCATTTTTTAAAATGCAAAAACGCGTATACGTAATATTCCCTACAATGTAAACATATAAAATTCGAAATAAAGAAAATATAAGTACTTTGGTACTCGTTATAAGTGCCAGTACGCCGCACAGCAGCATTCTATTTATATATTACAATAAAGTTCTTGAAATACATTTCAATAATTTGCATATATAGAAATACAAAAATATATATCTTGAATATTTTTTATGTTTGGTATTGTTATGTTTGGAAATATATTATAAAAAAATATAACTTTTAAATTGCACAATATTATCACTAAATAATTTCTATTTGTTTTGTCTATATGTTTTTTTTTTTTTTATTCAAAAATCATCGTTCTCCGTATTTGGCAATATAAGATTGTTTTGCAACTTTGACTAATTGATCGTACATAGCACGGTCAGTTTCTTTTACTAATGATTTGAATTGACTGTAGCTATTTTGAAGTAATATGTATGGATGATCGAATTCCTGCAAATTAAAATACAGCTATTTAGTATTTGGTTAATTTTTATGTATAAAAATTTAATTATTAAATTACAACATTTAAAATTATTACAACATTTAAATTTGCCTATATTTTTTTAGAAATTAATGTATAAAAAATTTATTATTATCAATTTAAATATTGAGATAAGAAATAAATACAAAATTCTACCTACCGCCATACGACCTTTATCCATAACTAAAACCTTATCACTATCCATAATTGTATTTAATCGATGGGCAATAGTAAGTACGGTACATTTGGCAAATTTTTTTCGTATTGTATGTTGAATTAAGGCATCTGTTTGCGGATCTACATTAGCTGTCGCCTCGTCAAGCATCAGAATTTTATTGTTTCTTAAAATAGCTCTTGCCAAGCAAACTAACTGTTTTTGACCAACGCTATAATTACTACCTCTATCTAAAACACGGCTTTCCAAACCTGTACCAGCAGTAACTACAGCATCCTTTAATTCTACCTTTAACATATATATAATTAAAAATTTCATTTTACTCATACAAAAAAAAAAAATAAAATTAACGTCTATGTTTCAAGTACTTACTTCTTCAAGTACTTCCCATATAGCTTTATCTGTAAATTCGTTAAAAGGATCTAAATTGCGTCTCAAGGTACCAGAAAATAAAACTGGATCTTGAGGAATAATAGATATATTACGTCGTAAATCCTCTAAACAAATAGACCCAGTGTCTATACCATCGATTTCTAAAATTCCTTCGATTTTAGCTAATCTAAACAAAGCTGCTATTAAAGAGGATTTTCCTGCTCCTGTCCTTCCCACTATACCTATCTACAAAATATTATAACTGCGTATTCTATTTTTGTCTATATTTTTCTAGAAATTAATGTATAAAAAAATATACTTTTTCTCCAGGATTAATGACAAGATTTAATCCTTTTAATACCGGAGGATCTTCCTCTACATATTTCAAATATACGCTTTTAAATTTGATCATTCCATCAATAGGCCAATTTTTTGGTGCATTAGCAGGAAGTGCAACTTGTTTTTCTGTTTTTTTGGCAAACTTTCCTCTATCGCGTAAATTCGGTTCGGGTATGACTTGCGTATATTCTAATACACGCTCCACAGACATCAATTGATTCGCGACTTCAGCATTCTGCCTCATACCCCATTGAATCATTCCAGTCATAGCCATTACTTGAGTGATAGCTAAGCCTACTTCTCCACCGGAAAATGCTATAAGATAAGAAAAATTATATTCTATTATTGTTATTTATTAAAGATTATTTTCTAGAAAAATATTAATTAAATAAAAAAATATCAATTTGAATCTTACATTGTTCCAATAACAAAAAACTGAAGGTAACTACAGATATAAAGATGAAACAAAAGACATCCAACGAAAATCCAAAAGCAGTACTCGCTGTTACGTACATATAAACAGTGGAAGTATGGACGTCTTGCAGTTTATCAAATTCTTTTTTTAATATATCTTGTGCACAATAAGCTCTTATGGTAGACAATCCATTTAAAGTAGCATTTAAATGAGTAAATACAGGTGATCGAGCTGTAAAAATAAAAATTGTAAAAATTTTGTTAATATAAAAATATTTTTTAACTTTATCAATTATTTAAATATATATTTTATAATAATTTTTAATTCTATACAAAAATTTAATTCTATACAAAAATACAAAAATTTCTAAATATGAAGTTAATTAATATTGATTTAATGACGATACTTACTTATTCCTTCCATTCTCTTAATATTTTTACTAGTCTTTAAAAATACTTTTCTTATCCAATAAAATACTGTACCCAAAAATACTATAGGGATTAAGAAAAGAGGATTAATGATACACGATACTGTTAACGATCCAACCATCATCATACATATTTGACCAGCATCGAGTATAGCCTTTGGTAATAATTCATCGATAGCTCCCATATCTTTAGAAAATCTATTAAGTATTCGACCACTGGGATTGATGTCGAAAAATCTCATACCCGTTCTAATTAAAGCGCTAAAGGCCATATCATGTAATTTTTGACTGCATAATATGCATACTTTGTAAAAAGACAATGATCTGGTAATACCAATACAAAATATTCCCACAACTATAATTGTATAAATATATAGATATTTATACATTGATGAAATATCCAAGTTTTCAATCAAAGTATCATTGGTAATATTAGACTTAGCTTGTATAAGGTAATAATGTCGCGTTTCTTCTGCACTTACTCTGAAAATGTTTTTAATTTATAAAATATAATATTTTAAAATATTTTAAATTTTAAAATAATAATTTATAATACTTACAAAATAGGAACAAAATAATCATTGAGACTGGCTATAAACTGTGTACTTATAAATAGTAGGAGTAGTGTAAATGCTAAACATAAATTAGCACCAGTTTGGAAGTACTTAATGAATAGTGAACCTTTAACTGCTCCACGAGAAGTTCCTTCTAGACCATCGTTTAATCCTTGAGGATCTTCATCTTCTTCCTCATCATCTGTTCCTCCGCTACTTGCTTCTGGAGTTCGACTCTATTAAAATAAAATAATATATTTTCTATCTAAAGATTATATAGATTTTTGTATTTTAAAAAATACAATATTCTTACTCTAGTACTTGATGATGAAAATTGTCTTCTCATAGTACTTTTTTCTAAAGAACTATCTTCATTTGTTTCTGATTCTGCTGCAAGTAATTCAGCATATTCTGGTCGTTGCTTCAATAAATCTTGAAAATTAGAAAATACTGTAACTTTTCCTTGATCTATAAGTATAATAGCATCTACATTTTTCACGTATTGTAATTGATGAGTAGCTAAAATCCTCGTTTTTCCAGCTAAATATCTTTGCATACATTCCTCAAATAAATGTTTACTAACATGAGTATCAACCTGAAAATTATAAATTTTTTACTCCAAATTATTTTAAAATTTAAATTATTATTTCTAAAATACTTACAGCACTTAATGGATCATCTAACAAATAAATATCTGCTTGTCTATATAAAGATCTAGCTAAATTGATTCTAGCTTTCTGTCCTCCTGATAAGGAACTGCCTCTTTCTCCAACAACTGTTTGATCACCTTGTGGAAATTGTTTGAAATCTCTTGAAAGAGAACAAGCTTTAATAACTTTCTGATATCGATGACGATCATAAGATTGTCCAAAAAGAATATTTTGTCTAATAGTTGAACCAAAAACCCAAGCTTCTTGTCCAGCATAGCTCAGACTTCCGTTTACTTTCACGTGACCTCTCGTTATATCTATTTCTCCAAGAATGGCAGAAAGAAAAGAACTTTTTCCAGCTCCAACCATACCTATTACAGCATATATCTTTCCTTTTTGCATTTCTAAATTTATACTTTCAAGAGTATTCTCAGATTGACTTGATTCCCATTTGGCTGTTAAATTCGTCATTTTTATTGCATATATCTCTTCAATTGGCATTGAAGAATGTTTTTTTTCTATAAAAAAAAAAAATATTTTAAACAAATATTTGTATTTTATGCTATATATCAAATGTTTACCTTCCATAAGATTTGCTGTATTTTCCAACAAATCACTAGCAACAACTATTAAACCATTGTGCCTCCTTTTTTCTAAAGAATCATCCAGATTCTCATAACTATCTATTTCATCATCAATATATGGTATATCATTTTTAGAAGTTTTATTGAAAACTTGTTTGGATACACTATTAATACTACCATTAAGACTAGCAGTGAAATTATTTGAAGTATAAATATTATCTTGAAATTCTTCATACATCAGAAAATGCTGTAATCTTCTTACAGCCACTATACATTCGGCAATCTCCGCAAAACCCCGCACAAACATTCCAGACATAGTATGCGCCAAAATATTAAAATAGGAAGAAAAAACAAACACTTTATCGGCAGATAATTCATTGCCAAATAAGAGGATACTAATTAGAGTAGTATAAAGAGCCATCCTTGTAGTAAACAAGTTGAAGGTCATATAAATACCTCTAATATAGGCACTTTTAGTGACAACTTGTAATTCTAATTTACGTGCAGTTTCGATCAAAGCGCAGAATGGTTTTTCCCAGGCATACATTTTAATTACTTGAACACCTGATATAATTTCGTCCATTAAGCGAACTCTTTCGTCAGTTTTTATAGCAGTTTGTAGCCGAAATTTGGAAGACAATTTTCCTGTATATGCTAAAATATATAAATTACAAATTTATAAAAATTTATAATAATTATGAACAATAATAATTCACAACTTTTAAAGTTTATATTCTTAAATATTAATTTCAAAACCTTGAATGTGCATTTTTATTTTCGATTACTTATCATTATATCATTATATTTATATTATTATGCAAAATAAAAAATATTTCATATCATTCGAATCTTTTTTTAATAATTTAATTATTATTACGAGAAACTCACACTGAATTGGCACAACGACGGAAACTGCAGCAATACCAATTAAACCAGCATATCCAGCTTCAGTATAAAGAAAGTATGCTATGATTAACATAGAAATTGGAGCAGACCACATATGATGTATAAAGATGGAAACAAGATCAAATCTATTTACATCATTAGCCACTAAATTAACTACTTTCCCTGGAGCTGTTTCACCAAGTGCTGTTTTGCTAAGTCGTAATGCCTATTATGTAAAAAGAAAAAAAAATTATATGTTTATAGTATGCATGGAAATACTATTAAAATTTTGAATTAAAATGCAATTTTATTAAACTATACTATATAGTATATATAGTATATATATGTTTTATATATAAAACGAAATTTTATGAATATAAAATTTAAATTAAAATAATTTTTTCCAGGATTATTTGAACTTTTGACAAACAATTTAATAAGACAATTATTTTTTTAAATTACCTTTCGATACACTACAGAACATGTGGCAACCCTGATTTTTGCACCAATATGAAACGCACCGAAAATTGCTTGATTGAGAGTGATTACGTTTATAGCTGTTGCTATACAAATTCCAGCCGCGTATAATAATGCAGTTTCGTAAGTTTCATTCATACTCTTTTTGAAATAACGTAAAAGTCCACCCAAAAGTATTGGTGTCCCTAATCTTTAAATGAATATATGTTATAAATAGTCATATAAAAATAAAAAAAACATTAAATCATCAAAACATGTATCAAATCTAACATTTTGCACCAGATATTTTATGAATAACATAGAATATTAATATATTTTAATTCTTTTTTTTAAACAATAAAATTGTCTTTCTAATAAAATTATCAAATGCAAATAATTCTCTAAATTATAATTGTACATGAATTATGAAAATATCGAATGCAAAGAATTGAATTGAAAAACAAAAAAATATACCGGATAATAAATTCATTTAATATTTGCATTAAACCAAGCACAGTATATTCCCACCAAAAGGTACGAAAAATTGCTCTCAATAAACTGGCTTTTCTTTTATGTTTTTTCGAATTTTCCATCTCAATTTTCCATCGCCTAAAATAGTATGTTCCATAAGTAGTTCATAAGTCTTTTTCTCATAAATTTGTAGATATATTATCTAAAATATTAAATTGAATGTCAATACAAACTTTTCCAATCGATCTCCAAGCATATTCGATCGATCCGTCTTCAAAGGAGTATATAAATCATCGGTTTGCAGAATCTTTCTGTAGCCTATCTTAAATAAATCTATTGTCCACCTGCATATTATTGTAGATAATTTAATAATTTAACAAGTGTAATATGGAAATAAACAATTACATTAACGAATTTCTAATTGAATATCTATTCAATAATATTTTAAATAATTAATTTTTTTGTAATTATCTTGAAACAATTATATAGATAATTATAGAATTACTATAGAAAAAATAATTTTACTTACAAATAATATCTATATGTGTTTAGCAATAATGAAGACATTTCGAACGTACGATTTTCATAATTCGTAAAAATAAATATACAATAGAAAAACAATTTCATTAATATTAAATCATTTTTGTTATTATCATTGATCTTTTTGCTTGTAAATTGTGAAAACAAAACAAATTTAAATATTTAGATATAATTATATGCATTTATAAATTTAAATTTAAATGTTTCAATATTAAAATATTCAAATTTAAATATTTAATAATAAATATAGTCTGAATTATTTATTTTTTCATAATTTCAAATTTATACATCACTTTTTTCTTTTATTAAAACGAATTAATTTTAAACAAGTTTTAAAATGATTCTATGTTCGCATATTCAAAATAAGCTACGAATTCATTGAATTAACCTAGTTTTGAATCACGATGAAAGGATAGCAATAATAATAAAATAATAATAAAAGTTGTTGCAAATTGTTTTATATTCAATAAGTGAATAAAATTTAAAAAAAACTTACCACCAAAGTAACACTGAGAGTAAATTCGCTTTTTCTCGTGGATTTGGTTTCGATTTCAAATTGGTTGTGTCCATCTTCTTCTATATGCTGCATTAACCCACTGTTATTAATTCTTTAATTGCTAGCGAAAAAAGTATTTAAGTATAATTCATTTTAAGGGGAAAAAAATAAGAAAATCGTGAACACTCGTATTGATTTCTTAAACAAAGACGATTTTATCATTCAAGGAGCTTACATATCTACTTGAGAGTCCTCTTAACGAACAATCTGATTGCTGACTAATTGAGCAATCACTTGAAAATTGACACGACACAGACACAATAAAGGAATCTTGAGAGCAATCACTAAATTCACGTTGTCGATATTCCAAATAGATAAATCCCGTTCGATGATAGTTCAACCAAATCCACTATCCGGAATCGTTCTTTGTCTTCGCATGAAACTGTATCGTGGAGGAAAATAAAAGGTACACCTGTTGAACACCTATATTTAAGACAAAAAGAGATCATGTATCAAATCTAAATTTTTCGTGTGTATCGTGTATTCTTTCCTTTTATCTTATTATTCGCTTACTCACTGTTCAAACAACGACAGGAAACTTTTAATATTTTGACACGATTTGATAGACATATAGATATAAAGGAATATTCGGTGTTATTTATGATAATTCTATTTTATAATTATTAAATATTATAATTATTATTACATGAAATCCTAACAGAATAAAATTATAAAATTATAAAGCTAATGAAACGAATAAAACCAAAATGTAGAAATCAATAAATTTGACTTGTGATGAAGAAACTATGACTCAATAATATTTTCTTCATAAATTACGAATGTATACATTAGTAAATAACCGAAAGTAGTATTAGTTAATATATTTAATTATAAATTTATTATAAATTAGTAGTATATTATAAGTTATTTGTCTCTTTAATAGGAATATATATTGAAATTATCATTTTAATTTTTATTATTGACATTATTGCATCACATGACCTTGAATTCTTTATGTAAAATACATTGGAATTAAATTTTACAAAAGCGTAGCAATATACTTAAAATTCATCGATCGTGTTAGAATGTAATGAGTTGAGTAATTTGTAGCAACCATTGTCACGATTTTAATTCACAATTAGCTGCTGAAACATAATGTCATTTAATCAAAGAAATAAAATCTAACATACGTTGTAACATAAATATGTAATATGAATATATTGCAAAAAGTTAATGATAATATTAGAATAACAATAAAGATAACGAGTCAACATTGCTATCATTCAATTGTAAACATTATTGTTCCAATATCGTAAAAATAAATGTACGAGAAATAAAAAATATATTTAAAAAATATATATATATTTTAAATTATTTAGAAAACATTACAAATACTTTTTCAAATTATCAATCGTATGTATATATATATATATATAGATAAATAAAAAGATAAAAATAACGCTAGTCATTCATGATTAAAACTATTTATTTATATTACCATGAAATGAGATAAAATTAAAAAAATTTAAGAAATTTAAACTAAAATTAAAAAATTAAATTAAACTAAAAATTAAAAAATATACAAAAAACAATAAAATAATAAAATTTTTAAATATGTTGCATATAGTATGATAAATCTTATTACATTAAGATAGAAGTTACATATTTGCTTAAATAAAACTATCAAACAAATGAAAATGATTCGTCATGATTATTCAGCAAAAAGTTCTACAAAATTTCTGTATTACCATTAAAGATTACTATTTATATAATTTTATATAATCTTATTAAAATATTAGTAATATTTTATTCAAAAAAGATTATATAAAAAATATATTTATTACATAAATTGATAAAAGAAGAATATCGTTATCTTTACGCAATTATACACATATAATTATTAGTCGCGGAAAGCTTTTTCCAGGAAATACCATGAACTTGCAATAAATTAAGGCAATAATTATATCATGACATTTATTGTATTGTTATCAATTCCAAACTCAGATTTTACGTGATATCAACATAGATTGCGATTTTACATTTTCATAATTTTTACTTCTACAAAGAAAAGAGAAATTATAAATGGTGCTGAATCAGTAAACTTAACATTATAGTTTTAAATTCCATTCGATACATGCGGATGTGTATACACTGTCATAAAACAAGCTATTGCGAAGGTAAACGAACCGTCGTATTCTACCACATTGAAAGTTTTAACAAATTTATCTATGATCTAAATGAGAAGATTCGCATTGCATACATCATATGCATTATATAAAAATATATTCAAATTACAACTTTAAAAAGTTTGTAATGAATATTTTCACTTCATAATTAATAATCTTTAATTATTATCATACAATTATTTTAATGTATATTTTTAAATATATTATACTTTTAAAAAACATTATTATATTATAAATAACATATATAAATAATGTTTATAAATAAATAACAAAATAATGTTTATAAATAATGATATAACAAAAATATTAATATTAAAAAAATTAAATATGAAATTTTATAATTGAAACACAATTGTTATGCAATAAAAAATCTCTTCAAATTATTATCAGGAATTAATTTAAAAAATGCATATTAAAAAAATTACAAGAGAATTTTTTATAATAATAATTTTTCAATCACCATTGTTTAAAAATAATAAATTTTTATATTATAAATTATACATCGTTCTTCAATGGATGTGAGTGAGTTCCTTTTAGTTGTGTAACGTAGTCAGGCTAATGGTCGCATTAAACGATGCCACGCGAAATTGTTATTAAGACAGAGAAGCTGAGAACGGGTCAATTGTATACGGCACGTGATGTGTACTGTTCAGTATAATATATCACGATTCTTTTCAATTTGACTTAATGCATATTGCTATGAGTAATTCATAACATTTTATTTTTGTGGAAAGTAATTTCCAATTTCCATTATACAATTTCACATAAATCGTATAATTTTTATCAAATAGTAACTTATCTTAAATTTATTATCTTAAATTTATTAAAATTTTTTTCAATTATTAAAATCATTTTCTTATGCTTTTTCAAAGCATTGTAATTGTACTATTCTGTAAATAGTCTAACAGAGATATTTTCAGCCTAAGGGACAAGAATGTCTCAATCTGGCATGCAAAGTGGTTTCAATGTTAACACAGCAGTATTTCATATATACGCTTATTATGATTTGAAAAAGAATTTTGAATAAAGCTAATCGAATGAAATATACATACATATATAAAACATTTGATAAATATGTATTTTTACTTACTTTCTGTATTTGTATCATTCGTTTTCTACTTAACAAAAGAATATTATCGATGAATGTTACATTCTATAAATTGGATTTATTTTCTTACGAGTAATGTCGTTAAACGCTTCGATAAATCGAAACGATAAGTACGCCTGCCTCCTTAGTACAAAGCCTGAACCGCTACTGAATACAGATCTTGTCTCTTTCCTTTTCCTTTGGTTGCTTCTTCGTTCTGTGACGTATACTAATATATAGCTACTATTTAACTATCAATATAACTGATTTCTATGTATTTTTGATAATACATATGATTTTCTATACTATTTTCTAATAATTTTTATATAACTCTATATATATTAAAAATTCAATAAATAAGAAATTATAATATTTTCTTTATAAATAATTATTTATAAGCTTAAATATTAGTTTTCTATACTTTTTGATCTTGTTCAAAAAGTTTTTAATATTTTTTATTTGGATATTAACATACATTAAAAAATTAATTCACAATTACATTTTTTATAATTTTTTGTTAAAAATTTATAGTAAAAAGAAACATAAATAGTTAAAACAAAAATTACAAAAATATACATATGTATAAAGATGATACTTAACCTAATCAAAGTCTATATATAAATGTTATATATCTTCATATAATAAAGTATGTATATTTAATAAAATATATCTATGTATATTTAATAAAATTTTTATAAAAATTAATTCAATAAGTTTAAGAATGAAATCAGTTTATTTTATTTTCAAAACAATGTCATAGGCTACTTACAAAAATAATGCTATGATTACAATTTCTTAATATTTAATGCAATAAATGCTGATACGATATGTATTATCTTAATGCCATGAAATGTTTGTATCTATGTACACATTTGTATATATTTATTATTTTTTTTTAAATATTTTGTAGAGTAAGAATTTAGGCCTTATATAAATATTGTCATTTTGTTAGGTTTTCACTTATTCTATTTAGCATTTCATTTCACGACCTTTTAGATGTCGTACAATAATTTTACAATTACGAAACAATTCTGATCTCCTCTTGTAAAATCAAGAGAATTAGAAATTTTACTATGTTTTAATGGTGCATAATACGCACACGCATACTTTACACACATTAGCAGACCTAACATTGGTCAAATGAAAATCAGATGAGAAAAATTTTTTCTTGGAATGCATTCATCTTAGAATAATATTAAAGATTAGTCCTTATTTTTCCTTGTATATTAGATATATAAATAAACAAGTGTTCAATTGCACTACTCCATTAAAGCAATGTTAATTAATTACTGTTCATATTTTATGATTATTTTTGATATTTATATGGAGTAACGAATATCATGGCAAAATACTCAAATTTAAATGCGTTCAGTCATAAAATTGTCAAAATACGAATTATTACAAAAAGGACTAAAACCATAATTTGTCTATACTGATAAAAAAATTACGAAGGGTCCCTTTGAGAACGTGAAAATACCTCCGAAATAATTAAACTGTTTGCATGATTTGTAAGATGTTTCATTTGGATGTTGCAATATAAACATCTAGCAAAAATTCGATATATTTCTATAAAATAAAATAAAAATAAAATAACTAATTAGTTGTATTTGTTATTTGCCAAATATAAAGGCATTATTTTTACTAAAAAAAAAAAAAAAAAAAAAAAAAAAAAAAAAAAAAAAAAAAAAAAAAAAAAAAAAGCATAATACTTCTAAAATATACTGGTATCAGAATTGTTCTCTTCTTAAAACATTTGATCTCAAGCCATAATTATCGAGTTTGAGGGTTCGATAACATTAATACAAGTTTTTCGTGAGCGTATGCCAAATTTTTAGCTAAACCTTTACAACATCCATTCTCTTGTATAGTTTGGAATCTATAAGTTCGGAAATTCTTCTCTGTGTCTATATATGTAACAGCCGCCATTAGCGGACACATAATAATCTTTGTATGATCAAGGAAATTTATCTAAAAAAAAAAAAAAAAGAAAAAAAAAAAGAAAAAAAAGAAAGAAAGAAAAAAATATGGATTAATGATTATATTTAATTTAAAACTTAAACAAAAATATGTTTAGAATATTTAATTACTCACTTGTACTGTTCCATTAGTCAATTGCATAACTACAGCACTTTGTGTTCTAAACCATTGATGCATGTATGGTATCCTAGACATAGCATCACATGGTTTTACAGCAAAAGAACATCCGGCCTTCATTAAATGTTCTTTCATATATTTTAGGAAAAAATTCATCAGCCTCATTTTCTTCTCTAATTCAGATGGATATTCTTTGACTGTGTAATATAATTCATTTCCTTCTCGATTTATATAATGAATATTGAAACAGTTGGCTAGCATTATTAAACGGGTACCATCATTGAACATTACACCCACACCATCGTCAGAAAGTTGATATCCGAATCCATATTTATCCGAGTAGTCAACCCATTTGCTTATCCATACAACAGGTTGTGCAGCTGGATCAGTCATTTCATCTGAATAGTTAAAATAAAATATTTATACTTAAAATTTTTCAATTATTTGTTTGATTATATTAAATTAAAAGTTTATATTATATAAGTTATCATTAAAATAATATAAAATTATCATTATTTAAAAAAAAACGTTAGTTTTAATAATATGGGGAAATAGAATAGGACATGAGATTCGTGCCTGAGGTTTCCGCAAAAATCTGATAAGGTCTTGAATATTCTGCATCAGGAAATAATTTCCGTAAGTATAAACGAAAATTTCCATGCAAAACGCAATAATAAAATTTAATCCTTGGATGATTGTACCTGCTGATGAAGTTGTTTCTCTACTTGGTTTAGCCTTTAATACAGCACTCAGCTGTTCTCTCAATGTTTGAAGCATTTTTCTAATATCAAGATTCAGTTTTTGAACTTCACTAATTGCATCGGTGGGTTTTGTCTTACGCACCGGACTATTAGGTACGCGGAATACAAAATCTTGTCCTTCTCCTCCTACATTAGTATTCATTTCAGATAATGGTTTACGTTGATTATGCATTTCTAACATATCTAGGCGAGGTGCCATTGTTAAACATGATAATGGTAAGCTAAGTGGCATAAATCCTATTATAAAATTTAAAAAACAATCAATAAAAATATTTCATAATAATATTAATATTATTCTATAATATTTTAACAAAATTTGATGATATGTACCACAAGTAAAAAATGGATCTTTCATTAATTTTGTTATGGAAGGACGTTTAGATGGATTTCCTTGTAACATATTAGATATCATATTCATTGCAATTGTATTGATATGTGTAGGAATTTTATATTGGACTTGTTTTATTCTAGCATAGGTTTCTTTTAAACTTGATGTTTCAAATGGAGGTTTTCCTACAAGCAAAGTGTACATAATGCATCCAATACTCCATATATCAACTTCATAAGAATGTCCAGCTTTAGTTAAAATTTCTGGTGCAATATAATTAGGTGTACCACATACAGTTCTATTAATAAAATAAAAAGTAAATTTATTTTTTTCATATTAATTTCATATTAAATATTGAAATATAAAAATAAACAAATCAATTACTTTTTACGTTCTCCTTCATGTTCTAATCTGGTGGCTAAACCAAAATCACCAATTTTAACCTGTAGATCATCACTCAAAAATAAGTTACCTAATTTAAGATCCCTATGAATTATTTTATTTTGGTGTAAATAATTGACACCATCCAAAATTTGCTTCATATAATATCTGGTTTCGCATTCCGTTAGTGCTTTTCTACGTTTATGTAATTCCATCATTGACTAGAAAATATAATTTCCACTTTAATAATATATATATAACTTTAATAACATTTCGTTTTGGATTATTAAATATCATTATTAACATTCTATGTTTTTAGTAATATTCGATCAATTATCATCGAATATCAATTTTAAATTTAAAATGCCAATTTAAAAATTACGCGTACATGAAAGTTAGTATTTATATGTATTTTGACGCCATATTGGTTTCGTCCATATAAACTCATTATACAGGCGGGTCAATCAAATTCGATTGTACCGATAAATAGTACATATTTCATTTATTGTATTTATATTTAAATTTAAATTTGATTTAAATTATGATTAAATTTGAATTTTATTTAGATTATGATTAAATATGATTTTGATTTAGATTTTTGATTTAGATTATAATTATATTTGAGTCTAATTTATAATTAAATTGATTATATAACTATTAATTTCATTAAATAATAAATTAATAATAATTAAATTATAAATTTTAATCTAATTTAAATTATAGTTTGAATTTCTATTTTGATTAAATTTAAGCTAGATTTTAGTTAGGTACGTAGATCAAAAGTGAACTAGTAGTTTTATAGCCTGTATAGGTTATAAATAACAATATAGCATGAAAATAATCATATAAAAAATAATTTTTTTTATATACACATAACTTTTAGAGCAATGGATATCTAAATTTAAAATTGGTATTTTTAAATATCATTTTAATATTAACAAAAGACAAAAATAAATAAAATTATTTTATTTATGTTCAAAACAAATTATTAATTATATTTGTACTTTTGAAAAAATTTTGTAATTAAAAGATTATAAGAAAATTTACCCTTTTTCTGCATAGCTCTAAAATTATATATACATTTTGTGGATCATCAAAAAAACCATAAAAGCCTACAATATTTTTATGGTTCAAAGTTTGATGAATGGAAATCTCTTGTGTCATTTTCTCTCTTTGATTGCTCTTTGTAATTTGTGACTTTGGCACAATTTTTCCAGCAAATACACGATGTGACTTTGATTCTCTAATTTCATAACATTTTGCAAAACCACCCTAAATAAGACGTATAAAGCATAAATAAAATATAAAATAAAATACAAATAAAGACAAAAAATAAAAAATACATGTGTAAAAGATATTAAAATATATATAAATATATATAATATAATAATTTTTTGCAATATATAATTCTTTATATTAAATAGCATTCAATGCAATGAATTTGAGTTATGTTTTCTTAAAAATTTATATTTTATGTATTTAATAAAATACATTTATTTAAAATTTATTTAACTAAGATTTAAATAAAAATAAATAAATAAATAAATAAAAAAGTCGATTATTTTTATTATATATTTATCAAAATTTCATTAAATTTTTAAAAAAAAGCAACAAGTATTAAAAATTACTACATATTGAACAAAAAATTATTTGATATATAATTTTTATCAGACTGAAATTAATTCAAAAAGATAGAAATATAAAAGTGTTAATAAATTTTTAATATAAAAAATATAAAATATAAGAAAAAATTATACTTACTTTTCCAAAAAATCGTCCCTTGATATAACTTTTTCCTGAGTTTACATCGTATATCACGTCAGGAATAACGCATTCTTTCTCGTCTTTTGACATCTTGTATTATTTTTTGGCTGGATTGTGCACTATATGATGTAAAACGTCGCGTTCTGGTTAATATTACTCACGTTACTTGTATGTTCCACGAAAAGAAATATATTCAATGCTAACTTTCTTCTCAAATACAAATTTTGCTGTTTTTGTCATGCGGAAGACAAGCAACGGATTTCAATATTTAAATCTCAATTTCTTAACCAATCCCGCGCTTCCCCATATATCTAACTATAGGTTGAATCCATAGGTATATTTATTCACCATACTTTGACAATTTAAAGATAAATTTTCATGAATCTCATTATATTATTATATAAAAATAATTTTAAACGTTTAATATTTTATTTAAGTTCAAAAATATTTTGAATAATTGCAAATATATATGAACAAAATATTTAAAAAAATTACATCTAGAAATCTTAATAATATATTTAATAATGTAATTTAAGTTAAATTTCTTTTATATGTTTAAAGCAATCAAATTTATATATTGCTATTCGAATTAAATATTTTTTTTCAGTTATGTTTTTTAAAATGTTGCTGTACATGAAAACGCTTCAAAACAAATAGGATATCCGGTAATATATCAGTATAGTAATTTGAGTGGTGTGGTCGATGCTTCTTTTTCCGGCAACCGGCGTCCATTTTCGTTGTTGGATTGTCTAAGATTGGCGCGTTTGGTATTTATGAAAAGATTATTTAGAAATAAGTGAAATGTAAGTACGTTTAAGTAGACATATAATGTGCATTTTATTGGAATTTTTTTTTATGAATCGTTTAGTGTATGCAGAAAATAATTGTGATTGAAAAAAACTTCATATATTTCATTAAAAATTTTAGCGTCTATACTGTAATCAATATTATTCCTTATTGAGAAATTTTATTTTAAATATTAGATATATCTATAAATGGAAGGTGCACCAGCTAGTAGAGGTGGATTCCGCGGTGGTCGTGGTGGTCCCGGTGGTCCTATGAGAGGACGCGGAGGTTTCGGAGACAGGGGAAGGTATATCTATATATATTTACCATTAACTTATATATATGTAATAACTTGCAATATATGTGAGAAAATATAAGATACTTCATTTTTCTAAAGACTTTATATAAATAGTCGTACAAAATATAAAATATTTTGTTTTTAGGGGTGGACCTCCAAGAGGAGGAGGAGGAGGTATGATGAGAGGTGGTAGAGGTAGTGGACCTGGAGGTGGTATGAGAGGTGGGCCACCTGGAATGAGAGGCAGAGGTGGTCCTCCTGGTAGAGGTGGTCGTGGTGGTGGACATTTTCCTCCTGGGTATTAAATATAATTATATTTTATTTAATTTATTTTGTTCTTTTTATTTATCTATATTATTATGTCAGAGGACCACCAGATCCAGGAATGTCTAGTGGTCCAGGAGGTGGTGGACCACCATTGCCAGGAATGGGAGGTCCACCACGTGGTGGCAGTAGAGGAGGTGGAAGCAGTGGTTTTCGAGGTAGAGGAAGAGGTGATTTTGGTAGAGGAGATAATCGTGGAGGTAATAGTAATTTTCGAGGTAGAGGAGGAATGGATAGAGGCAGCAGAGGAGGATCTAGGTAAAATTTATAATCTCTTTCTATTAAATTTAAAATTATATAAAGAAAAAAGTTACATTATTTCAGGGGAGGATCTGGGAGAGGTGGTCCAGGAGGCAGAGGTTTTGGAGATCGTGGAAGCAGAGGTAGTGGACGCGGTGGTGGTGGTCCATCAAAAAGAGGTGGTGGACCTCCAGGTTCAAGTGGACCTTCAAAAAGACCAAGATTTGATCAGCCATCTTCTCAACCTGCAAATGGTTATGCGACACAACCACCAAGGTATTTAATTAACTTGGATAGATTTAATGTAATAAAAATAAAAAATTTTATTACCAAAAAAATTATAATATAGTCAAGGCGGATATGGAGGAAGTACTAGCAATGCCTATGGTGGAGGACAGCAACAACCACAACAGCAACAGCCTGTAGGATATGGTGGCGGTTATGGATCACAAAATTATACTCAATCATCATATCAAAGTTATGAAAGTTATCAGCAACCTCCAGATTATGGTCAAACAGCTGTAAGCTAGTTTATGCTATTAATTCAAAAATGAAAAGAATGGAATCTAAACAAATTATATAATTTTATTTAGGGATATCCACCATCAGCAGCTACTGATAGTAGGTATGGTGGAGCACCTACTGTACCAGCTACAGGAGCTTTCAGTGCTGGTGATCCTTACAGTTATGGCAAAGCACCACCATCAGGTTAGTTTATAGTTATAATAATATGAACTCATCGTATTTTATAGTTTAAATTCTGTCGTCGAAATTAAAAAACAATTAAGAAATCCCTTTTCGGAAATAATATAAAGGGCAATATTATTGTTAACTTCGTGGTGTAATTAATATAATATACTGCGTGCACAGCCAATTACCAGCAGGAGGCAGTGGTAGCAGTAGCAGGGGGTGGGGGTGCAGGTTATGCCCCCATTAACTCTTACGATGACCGATCTTCTAATGCCACTTCTATGACCAACAGGGGTGGTTACTCGACACAACTTTATGGTTAGTTTTTTCCGTTCGACACCACGTTTTACATCACGTATTTATTTTTTCCTCGGTTTCATTTCAAAAAAAGGGACAAAGAAGGAAAATGAAGAAAATAAAAAATTATATATTTTTTCTTTATACTTTTGAATTAAAGCACTTGTTATTTTCAAATATGAATCGATTCAGACGAGAAACGCTTAATTATCAAAAATTGAAAATTTACTTTCTTTTTAAAACGAATTTTAAATAATAGATTCTATTTCACTTTTATCTTTGAATCTATTAATTTGAATAAAGTTGGATATCACAACTTTCCATTTAAAAAAAAAAGTACTAGTACAAAAATTGGTAAGATAAAGAAAAAAATGTGGCTATTTTCGTCTGGATACCAACACTGCAGCACTGCCTCCTGCCATTCTTCATTCCAGAATAATACTGTATTATCAGTATTTTCACACCCAAGCAAAAAAAACATTAATATTTCACAAAATTCACTTTTACATAGGTAAATAAAATACAATTGAAGTTTTAAATCTAGTGAGTTACAGATTTTTCTCGTCTGAGTCACATCTATATTAATTGAAATAGTTAATTGATAACTTCTAACTCTTATTTGTTATATTTACAGATTACTCGAGTCAAGATGGTGTATATGGAAAACAAGATTATGGTAAGTACAATTTACAATCCAAAAAAATTTTTTAACTTCTGAAAGGCAATATTTTACCGTGAATAAAATACTTAGGATCGGGTTTAAACATACCACCAAGAAAACGATCACATTTGCTAGTTTAATGAAATGAAGATATTTGAAAGAAAATAAAAACAAAATCCTATCGTGAATTTTTCAATTTATGATGAAGAAATAGAAACATTTAATGTTAACTGCAAGAAGTAAAAACATAGCATAGGACTTTTTATTATATTTTTACAAACAGTAATAAATATAACAATTCATAGCTTCGATAATAAATTATAACTATTAAATGAAGTGGCAAGTATAGATATTGTAAGATTTGTTTTAGTAATATTAAAAAAAATTTAATATATAATAAATAGTAATAATTATAATAATAATAATAATAATAATAATAATAAAAGAAAAAGAAGACAAATGTACCTCAAAAAGTAGGCAAATATATAGTATATATATTATTCAATTTTATATGAAGATTAATATATAGTATAATGTTAAATACACAGAATCATATTAAAAAAATTTATACTTAAAAGATGATTGAACGGAGAAGCTATGGTTGTTTACAGGTGGCAGTGCTGGTTACCAAAACGCCCAGTCTCAGCGACGTTATTAAATTACACATGCAACTATTTAATTCTAAATATTTAGATAACATTTCTTTTTTCCAAATTTAAAAAATAAAAGTATATCGTTCCTAGCGCGTGAAAAAGTTGGACAAATATTATTTGTCGTGAACACTAAGTGTTTTATAATTAATAATTTATTTGTCACTATGACAAATTTTTATATTCAAATGAGAAAAGTGAGCTGAAAAAAAGAATAATGCTTTCTAATGAAATTTGTGATTTTCTATCTTTGTCGCGCGCATGGAAGACGCGGTAAGACCAAACGATTGTTTAATTATTATAAAAAATTATAAAAAAAAAAGTATAAATGACATGAACATTTTATACTTGACTTAGCAGTATAGCATTCTATTCTTTTTGTCATGTTTGGCTAACGATATTACTTTAGAATTAAGTTGAGTTGATGTACAGTTTATCTTTTTTTTTCTGTATCTTAAAAAGCAATCTGCGATTGTGAAACATTATTAAATCGTAATTATCTTCATTGTAATTATTAAGGACAAAGATATTTGTGCTATTTGTAAAGTCATTAATCGGTTAATCATTGTGAACATACACATACATAGCTCAATGATATTAAAAAATTTTAAATATAAAAAAAATGAATATTTTATATTCTGTATAAAAAAAAAAGAAAAAGCAATTGTATTTTGTGGTGTATTTTGTTTTACATTTAACCGAATTGAAAAAAAGAATCGTGTATCAGAATATGATGTCCTCCCTTATTATGCGTTTAATAATGCGATATTTTGATTCTGAAAATATATTAATACAAAAAACAAACTTATAATATAATAGATCAGTCTTACTGTTGCGACATTTCATTTCATATACTTATATATGAATCAATTTATATATAGTTTTAACATGTAGAGCTCAATTTTTGCGTGAATTATATATAAAATGCTCTGCTTAGTGGTGACAAGAAAGTTTTTTGTTTTTGAGACATCAAATGAAAAAATATTAGAAAACTTATCAATAATGTTAGGAATTTATTTTAATTATAATTTAAATACTAATCGCAGATTGAAATGTCACATCGGCAGAGACAATCAAAATTCAATATTAGCGATTAAAAAAATAGATATTTATATGAAATCGAAAAGCGATATATTATAAATTATTCAAGGTTCAATATGCATGAATACGAAAAAATGTTCCAATCAATTGTGTACGTTAAAGTACATAAAAATTATATAAGACAAATAATGTGGTCTTATATTCTGTTTATTATTATAAGTTATTATGAAATTGTCTAAAAACTGTATTAAAAGTCAGCGTCGCATGTCATTGGTATAGTGATAGTGAATCAATTTAATTGTTGTAAGTATTAGAGTAATAACAAGCGAAATGAAAAGAAACTTTGAAAAAAAGAACCATGAAAAAAACAGTAATATTTTTTTTATATTTATTATTTCCTCACCTTTAATATGAGAACTATGGATTGAATTAAAAAAAAATATTTAGAAAGCAGGAAAACCAGCAACTGCCTTAAAAAACGATATTTATATTAAAAAATAATTCAATTTAAAAGAATACAGTGCATTTTATAACTAACGTAGGTATAAAATTTTTATTAAAAAAAACAATAATCTTATGGAGAACAAATTTTTTGTAATATTCTATATGAAAAAGAGTAAGAAAAGAATTCTTTTTTATTCTATTATATATATATAAAATGTTCAAAGAATATTTTATGTCCAGAATGAAGTACGATATTATTGATATATATATATATATTGTGTATATATAACAGCATTCATGGGTAATTCTGGACAATTCTATATATAAAAATTGACAAAAACTAAGTTTATTTCACAGGCGTAACAACAACCTGAGATACTTAGGGAACAGAATGAAAGAAAGAGAGAGTACCTTCCCTCTGTTACCAGCAAGGAGAATACCGATTCACACAAATAACTAACAAATTTATATGAATAAATGACGACTGTATCATAAATGTTATTAATGTCCAATGGTATCAGGTATCACGTAAATGAAGCCTAGAAAGTATTGTTTTTTCTGTTAGAGTATATTATGATATCTTTCATTAATTAGAATGTCTTTATTTAATTTTTCTAAGCGATTTATACTAAAGAAATATTTGATCTTTGTGATGCATCTTTTTTCATTCAAGCAATTCTTTTTTCAATATAAATAATCAGCATCACTCAATATATTATTTTCCAATTTATCATATGCAAAAATTTAATTGCATCTTGTACATATATATACATATATAGATAGACAACGAAAGCATATTTAAAATGAAAAAGAAAAAGATAAACATTATGTAGAAAAAAAAGCAATGGAAAAGCAAGCAACAAGAATATCGAATTAAATCTATGCTAACATGTATTACGCTCATATATATTAAAAGACAAATGCTCGAGTAAACCTCAACCCGAATTCAGGTGAGTAAAATAATCTATCCGTTTTTTATAAAAAAAAAAAAAAAAAAAAAAAAAATATATATATATATATATATAATATACAAATTTATTATAACGCAAATGTTAGCAAGGATAATATCTAGATCTGCATCTATCGAGTGTAAAGTGGAACAATAAAAAAAATATGTAGGATAATTTTATTCTATTCTAAGATAAAAAAATATATATATTTTAAGTATAAAATATAATATATGCAATAATTTTAAATTCTATTCCCGCTTTATACATACGATACCTGCAGTATATTTTTAAATTAAAATAATGACAATAAGGTAACAATCGAAAGGTACACATTAAAAATTCTTTTAAAAAACACATTTGTTTATAAACACACACTATGATTTATAGTGACGTTAAAATAAAACAAACTGAAAAAGCAGGGAAGGAATTTACAAAATAATTATGAAAAAAAATTTAAGAGCATAATATATTTTTATAATTTAATTGATAATGGACAACATTCAAATACTACATGTAAATGCGTTAATGATAGGTATTTATAAGATATTTCGTCTCTATTATTTATCTATCAATTTCTAATTTTTTATTATTAATTTCTTTAGGTTGATAATGACTATGCTGTCACAGATGGTACTACCAATTCATGAGCCAAGAAACATCTGCCACATGACTGGCATCGACGTTGTTCCTAAGAAGATTCAAGTGTATTTTTATTTTTCGGCGAGTATTGTAATAAAAAGATATAAAACATCATATTTTCCTCGCATGTTATCGAAAGACTGAGCTCTTAAAATTTGTATAAATTTAGTAATTGATTGTGATATATTTATGATAAAAGAATACTTTTCTTTTATAAATAAAAACCTATAATTTGTATGAATGTAATAAATAAGTTTTGATTTTTTATATACATTATATTTTTAATAAATTATTTATTTATAGTTTATTTGTCAGAAAAAAACAAAATATAAAAAAACTCATCAATTATCAGTAAAATCTTTATTCTTAAAATTTCTAAAAATCATTATTTAATAATATTGCATATTATTTAAAATTATCTTAATAATAGTTTTTAACAATAAAAATATTTTTCAATATAAATTTTTAATTATATAATGTTAATCTTAAAATGTAACATCACATTTTTAATTTTTTTCATTTCTAATGAATAAAAAAGTAAATATTCAAAAGTATTGTTATATATATATATATATTTGATTAATTCTTTTTTAAGAAAATAAATCATTATGAAAAATAAATTCTAACATTATTTTTTCACATAATTTTTATTATGTATTTTTTAAATATAACTTTATATAAAATCTTAATTATAAAAAGATATAAAACAAATCATTTAAAAAAAATATAGAAAAAATATTTGTATTTTATACATAATAAAATTATTTTTATATATATTTTTAAAATGGAAAATTTAATTGCGTAAAAACTAATAAATTTTTTAATTTTTATTGTTTTATTTAAGAATATCGTATTAGTATTTTACTTTAGAAATGCAGAAATCACATTTAAAGAAATAAATTTCATTTTTCATTATTCATGGCACAATTTTCGATATTTGTGTGTAATTTACATCTTCACCATAAACGTTTTTTACAAATAGTATTAGATAAAAGTACCAATTGTATATAACTGTGTCCTTCGCGCATATTTATTAATCTAAAAAATGTTTAAATATTTTATGAAAATAATTTTATAATTTAATTTTTAAATTTATTACTTACCTATCTCTTTCTTGTTGTTGAATATGGACTCTATCACCTCTTTGTAATGGAGTTATTACACTTGTATAACAAGATACTTCTGTAGCTGATGTAGAAGATGCTGTAGAACATTTCACAAGTTTTTGCGTAGTGGATTTCCCTTCTGAATTTAATAATATCCAATATGAATAGTTTGTTGGCTCGCCAAAATAAAAAATCTAAATAAGAGAAAGAGATTTATGAAAATATATAATATATATAACTTTAAACATCAAATAATAATAATAACATATGATTTTTTTACCTGAGCGGAAATCATATACAAACCAGTCGCTGTAACTTCGATAGATTTTTTATCTTCCACTAAATGGAATTTATTTAAATTATATTGAGTATTGTTTTTAGTACTTTTAATCCATGGGCCAATATAAACTAATATAAGAATATTTATAAGAATAAGTATAATTTATTATAATTTAATTAAATTTCGCATTTTACTAATATTATTAATTTAACTTTTTTTTTACATACCTGTATCTGTAATATGTTGTTCCGGTATTGCTCCAACAAATGTTGCCACCAAAGGTCCTAAATGATATCGAAATATCTTTTATATTAAATAAAAAGCAATATTGGGTAAGCAAAATTAATAGTTAACACATATGTTATTTGATTTAAATTATATTTTTTCTTTCTTTTTTTTAATTTTCAATCATATTTTACTTCTGACATTGAAATTTTATTAAAAAAATAAATAAAAATTGAAATTCTCAAGATAAATCATTTTCATTTATAAAAACGCATGCTAACTAAATAATAGTAAATACCCAATCGCCTGTGACTGCGCTTGGGCCGCCTTTTGTTCTTTCCCCGTTTTTTACCTCTTCTCTCCTCTCTTCTTGATCTTCCCGAACGAGATTCTTTCCATACGTTTAATTCATCATCACCGTCATTTATATTATCGCGATTCCTTTTCACACGATTCGATATCTTTTTTATCAAATTCTGTTTTTCTGTTGTTAATGTTGCTCTTTCAATACGTAAATTAGTATCACTCGCATTATTTTCATTATTTTCTAGCTTCATAAATAATTTAAGAATTGTAGTATTATTCGTATCATAAATCATATTATATAATATATGTTGTCTTTTGAAATTTTTGAGTGAATTTAAATATGGAATTATAGTATTGTAAGTGTATAAATTTCCGTTAGTGGTATTATGAATTCCATCAAAAATTTCGGTTTTAGATATCGAGGATGCTCCTTCTAATAGACTTTTTATATCATTCAACTTTTTATTTTCAAGGAATCTTTCAGATCTTTGAATCCAAACTCGATTTAAACTTCGATTTAGCTTATCATACTTGGATGTTAATAATAATAAATTTATGTTTAAAGATTGCACCTAAAAATAATTAAAAAGATATGTTTATTTTTAATTTTAAATATTAACTATTAAAAAAAAAAAATTTTTTTCTTATTAGTTTACTTGTATTTGCAAGGCACGCACTTCCTTCCTCAAATGGGACAACATAACAGCGAAAATAATCGCTAATAAGAGAAGAACGATACTGCAAAATCTTTGGAACATCTTTGACTTCTTTACCTTAGATACGGTTACTTTCATGTCAACATTCCATTCAATTAAGTTTGCCGCGTTTTTCAATGGATTATCGATTTGTAGATCGATGTCACCTTGAATGTGATCCATTTTGATTTTCGTTGCCATCGATTTTTAAGATTATGTACATCAATCAATCGCAGAAAAACATATTATCGACTAGTTTAAATATATTACATATATTATATCACAAATGTCCTAAAACATACATTATTTAATTCTAACACTTTCAAAATTAATCAATATTGGTTTATAATATTCTTTCACAACGGTAATTGATTTCGATAAAGATAAAGATAAACAAAAACATAATTATCACTTTTTATATAATTGTAGATAATTGTAGATATATAAACGATAATTCACATTTTTATTCAATAATCACTTATTTATTCAATGAATAATTATAATACGATTGAATGCAAAAACTAGAAGATAATAACAAAAATAGAGGACAGCACATGGATTTATTCACGCGAATTATATTCAAAAGAATTTAATATTGATTAAACAATTTCCAAATAGAGTAATGTATAAGTTTTCAATTCGTCATCTTATCCAACTTTGCTGACTAGTAGTCATGTCATGTACGCGTAGATGTATCAGTGATAGAAACAAAGAAAAATAATTATATCTTCATATTCTTTTCATACATTTGTAATTTTAGGATTTCTAATTTCAATTTTAGGATAGTATTTTTTATTACTTTCTGAATAAAACAATCTTTGTTCGTCTTAATAAACGAATAAAAATAGATTCTAAAAAAATTGCAATATCAAATTTGATATAATCATCATAAAAATTCACTATTTATAGAAATTCTGATAATTAAACAAAATTATAAGAAAAAGGAACTAGAACGTGTGAATATATTATAATAAAATAATTTTTGCTTACCTGAGTAACATGTTTTTTGTCGATTCTCTAGCGATTGCGAGAATCACAGATGAGATCAATCGATTTTCGAATCGATACACTTGCGTAGCGTCGTCGCTAAAAGGCTTACCCTTTGCGAACCTGATCGTGGACGACGCTGTTTCGTGGCATCTTTTGTTTACCTAGTCAACCTGCACTCAAAAGGGTCTCCGAACGTTACGACGACTCCACTCGACCGGTTTGGCGGCTGTTCGCCCGAGTGTTGCCAACATTTGCCTGGCAAGACACTATAGATATCTTCTTTACTTACTTTCTCTTTTTCTGTTTGATAAAAATAAGTAAAATCATATATTAATTTCATTTAATTTTTAGGATTATATCGTAACACGGATTGTTTATTATGGATTTTAATTAGATTCAAATTATTAAACAAGTAAACTATATTGCAAATAAACAAGAATAATTTATATTTATATCATTGATAAGAAATTTTGATCCTTATGTACGATTTTATTTTTCTTTCTTATCCGTATAAGTGTTAC